TTTTTCCACATCTAAAGCATCCGGTAGTGATTTGACCCTTTCCCGGCTGAGGTTGTTCAATCCTGCTTTTGTGGAATGTTCTTGATTGAGGATATTTTGATGTACCACCTTCTTTCTCAACTTCTCTATTCTTGTTGATGAAGTTTCCTCTTCGTTTTTCTCTTCTTACTCGAAGTAGTCTACTAATTTGTTTGCTTAGTAGAGCCAATTCTTCATCCTCCATATCATCGAGATCTTCTGTGTCTTCATTGTATGTGGTAGCCTTGAAGGCTATCCCCTTTTTCCCTTTATCATGATTTCCCTTGTTGAGCTTGTCTTCATGAGTTGCTAATGACCCGATGAGTTCATCTATAGCTAACTTCTCTAGATCTTTAGCTTCCTCTATTGCGGTTACCTTAGGATTCCATTGCTCTGGGAGACTCCATAGAATCTTAACAAGATCTCCACTTTAGTACGATTTTCCAAGATTCTCCAAACTGTTCACAATGTTTGTGAAACGCTCATACATTTGCCGGATTGTTTCTCCTTCTTCCATTTTGAACAAATCGAATTGCAGTTTTAAGGAATTAATTCGAGAAGTTTTGACTTGAGATGTACCTTCATACGTAACCTGAAGTTTATCCCAAATTTCCTTAGCAGTCTTGCAACCGGCAACTTTGTGATATTCTTCTGGACCGAGAGCGCAGTACATGAGATTAGTTGCCTTGCAGTTTTGCTGAAATTTCTCGAAGTCCTCGTCAGTCCATTTTTCTTGATCCTCTTTGAGCTCATACGGACCCTTGATGACTCTAGCCCAGAGTTTTGGATCTGTAGATCCAACAAATAATTCCATGCGATTTTTCCAATATCCATAATTAACTCCTTCAAACCTGGGAGGCCGATTTTGAGAGAATCCGTCAGCCAAATAGAGTGGAGCATTATTCTTGGAACCCGACGCCATTTCGATTAGCACCGGAGGTCGTTGAACCTTGTTCTACGGTGACCGTGCTCTGATACCACGTGTTGGTCGCGTCGAGCGCGAGACTTTTATACCTGTCTATCAAAAACTTGACCACAAGTAAGGTCAATTAAAGATTTCTCCCAATTGAGACTAAGGATCAACCTAGGTGATTTAATCGACTCACTAAACCAGTTATCACCCTAGTGAATCTACTTACCAAAGACCTTGGCCTAATCACTACACACTAATCGAATACTTAAGCTTAGTCAAGTAACTTAGACTAATAATCTATCCCACACAAGTCAAGCCTACAGAATGCACAACTGGGCTTCTAGGCCCAACTACTCAAACCCAGCGATGGAATTAAACTGACCCGCTTCCCCAGCCCAACTGTTCTTTCTCCCAAACTCGGTCACTTATTGCCCAACCAAAAACGACAACGGATTAATTCCAATTCTGCTTCCCTCCCACTATCACCTTTGATCCAGAAGCAGACCAGCTTCTTTTTGAACCAAGAACAGGGGAAGAACAATATCAACACATCAACAAAAAAACCCAGACGATGAAGAACTAAATTCACCCAAAATCAAGTTCAGAGAATTCCTCAAACCTAACCCGACCTGTCGCCTTTTCAGGCAGATTTTGATTCGAGTTTCCTGCAAAATAAAGCCTGGAACAGAATGCAAACAGAAGCAAATATAAACTGCAAAATGAAAAACAGAAGGGACACCAACACACGATTTTTACGTGGTTTCCAGTATTGGGAGAATGAAGATCCCAATACTGACTACTCCACGGTCAGAGAATCACGATTGAGTGATCTCTGACGATTCACTATGATATGCCGTTGAAGTTCTTCGTTACAAGCAATCTACCCAAGAGCCCTTTGATCAACCTCTACCCGATTGATCTAGCTCTCTTTTCTCAAACCCGAATTGCTTCCCCAGCAACTCGAAACCAGTGTTTCCCCAACACTAACCCTCAAAGCAATTCTCCCCGAACCCTTTGAGAAAACCCCCTTTCCTATCAACCTTGCTACTCTCACAAAATCCCCTTTTGTCTTAGCTAGCTATGTTGATCTCTTGGAAAAGGTTACCATTGCTAGTTCTTCAGGTCGCCTTTTATAGGCAGGAATATGACCGTTAGTCATTCAAATTCCTTCCCTATTTGTGATGATTTGATTGAGAACTTAATCCTCTAATTTGATTTGTAGTGAGCTGGTCATTTGAGCCTCATTGTGCACTGTTGTATCCAATCTTCATGATCTGATTTCTTCTCTAATTTTTCAGCCGTTAGAACCTTCCTTCTTTGTGATGATTTGCTAGGTGGCAAATCAGCATCTTTGACCTGTAGCTAGCCATTGGGAAGTTCTTTCCTTTATTGTTCTTGCTGATTGCAGAATCTCTCCTCTTTTATGCTGTCTTTGATTTTCTTTCCTTTACTTACAAGATTGTAGCATTTTCCTTCTTTGATTGCAGCCATTGATATGCTTGACTCAACAATCCCAAGCACCCCTACCCCTGCGCTCGATGCCAAAAAGTGCCCTGCAACAACCCCATCTTCTGCTCCAACCACAAGAGGCCTTGCTCCTTAGTGACTTTGTTATGAGCAGTAACCCATCCCACAACAGCTCTAATCGCTTTCCGGGCAACCACCACATGGGTGCTCTTAGTATCCCTAAAGATACGATTGTTCCGCTCCAACCAGACCTGCCACCAAACAGAGTGAAGCCCACAATAATTGATCCAATCCGACACATCCTCTGTATCGTCACACTTCCAACCGACAATCGTTGTCAAAACATCCGCTCTTGGAGGGTCAAAGCCATCACAAACAATCTGCAGCAAGCTCCAGACCTGCCTACTAAACGCACAGCCTGAAAAGTGATGATCCACCGACTCCTCTTCCTCACAGCAAAGCTCGCAGCGATTCGCCATCGCCCATCCTCTCCTCTTCAGATTATCAATGGTAAGAATCCTCTTGTGCGCCGACAGCCAGACGAAAGCACAGATTTTGGAGGGAACAACGCGTCTCCAAATTGAATTAGCTCGAAAGTTTGGAACCCCCAGAAACCGGCTGTCAGCAAGGGCCCTGTACATGGAACGCACAGAAAAAGAGCAATCTGATCGGGGAGCCCAGACCAATCTACAAGGCCCACTGCTCACCCTATAAGTGCCATAAGTATTCAAGAAATTAATAAGATTCGCCCTCTCCCTCTCAGCACCCCCCCCCCCCCAACCTAGTAGACAAAGGAATAGCCCAACTAGAAGACTCACCATTGCAGGTTTGGGAAGCAGAGACCCAGGCATCGGGGAATTCAGCAGCAGCAGCGACGCGAGGGAAGGAATCCGCCAAGGTTGCCTCCGGGATCCACCGATCATGCCAAAAGGAAACCCATGCTCCGCTTCCTGGGTCAATATTAGCCCAATTCCAAAACTCCTCATAACCCTTCGCTATATTTACCCAAACCGAGCTCGAGACACCATGACTACTACCGCCCGTTTGCCACAAAGAACGAGAGTTTGGGTATTTGACTTCAATAAGAGTGCGCCACCAGCTCCCCTTCTCAGTAGCGAAGCACCAAAATCATTTGGATAACATTGCTTGGTTGAAGCTAGCCAGATCCACTATCCCAAAGAACGAGAGGCTATTTAGATTGATTCTGATTTTATTAAATCTTTAATATGATTGCATATACATTTGATTTCTTTCTATACCATGTATGTACATGCGTAGAAAATCAAAGCTTCCCAATGCATATCTCAAAGGTTTCTAAAGTCTAGTTATATGTTTTGAATACGAATAGGCTATGGATTCAGGTGGAAATGCGAATATATATAACCTAGCTACACGCTCGGGGGTTTTTATTTCAGAATTGGGATATCGAAAGGGAGGAGAGGATTGGGTTTTCTCCTGAGATCGAGAGCTGGGGAAGGGTCAAAGAGAGAGGGAGTGGGGAGGGATGGCCGGCGCAGGCATGCTTGTGGCCACAAGAAGGCGGGCGAAGGGCTGGGAGAAGGTGGTCGTAAGGTTGGGTCAGAGAGGAAGGGATGGTACGTTATAAATATAGGTAATAATATGGTGTGGTAATATTTTGATTCCAAAACTATCCTGAATCTAATCTTGAATGTCATTTGAGAAAAATAGAATGAAGGGTTTAGATGAAGTTGCCACGATAGTTACTTTAACATTGACTTCTTACTTTGCCATGAAAGATTTAGATGTAGGTTGTCATCCTAACCATTTCCATTTTTTGGCGGCCGACCATAATGATCATTGTTTCCTTCTCAATCGTGTAAAGTAAACATGAAAAACGGTGCCTGTTGTAAGTCTATTGTCATTTTGTAAGATACTATTGTTTGAAGCTAGATCACTTTACCATTGAATTCTTACTGCCAATTTCAAACTCCCACAGTTGGGGAAGTTGTTGGGATTACAATAGCATTTGGAGGGCCATTCGCTGTTATGGTGCAGCATAAGAGAGAAGTATGTGCATTCTTTTCCATTTATGTGTCAGTAATCTCCTTATACTTTTGTATCGTTGTACTTCTTACTACAAATGATTGTCGCTGCATTTTGGTCAATGCTACTGTTGGATTGGTTGGTGGAGTTGACACTGTTAAACATAAGGTCTTGCTTGGTTTTGATTCCTTTGTTTGACAGTCTACTTGCATATTCAGATATAACTTCTTTCTTGATGTAGACTTCGTAAAAATCATCCCAAAATTCAACTTCAGTGTAGTACGGTGTTTTTCTGGTGGTGCAACACTTCTTGCCATGCGCCGTTTGAATTAGAAAAATTGGAGACTTGACCTGTTGACCAGACCTCTTCAACATTTCAGAATTTGGAGACTAATGAGATATATAAGCTTAAAAATTGAAGACCATAAGAGAATTGTGCTAAGTACACGGCTTCTAAAAGATACTAATGGCTCAAAATGCCATTGTCGAACACTTCATCATGCCATTAATTGTTGAACACTTGATACTAGTATTATTATTATCCTAATAAAGGAAGAAAAGTATTGTACATTGTGGTTGGAGGATAACAAAATAACAACATGAAATATTTAAATTATTATTCCCCGACTAAACAAGCTAGGAGTTTAATGGAATTCAAGTACTATAAAAAAAGGAAAAAGAACAACAAACAGTTGCGTTGGAATAAACAAGGGGATCCAATGAATATCTTCACGTCCGAAACTTGGAACCTTAGCTAGCTAATTCATTCATTCTCCGATAACACTTCTCTTCTTCCAATCTATCTATCTTTCCTTCATTTTTATTCTTATTCTTCCTATTCCAATCTTTCTTCCTAAATGGTATTCCACAAAAAGTGGACATAACAGTTGCACTTTTCTTGGTGTCATATTCTGACCCAAACTCCTTTGCTTTCTCCTTTAACTCGTCCAACATCTTTCCAACCGCGTCCTCAAACGCCGAATGCACGTTTGTAGAAAAGTCTCCAGCCGCAGCGTTTCCTCTTATCATGATTGTATACTCCATCATTGCTTTCGTGATACTTGCCCTCTTCAAGTGCTCTTCATCCTCCGACTTGTGCTTCTCTCCTTGCCGAGACATCTCCTCCGCCGAGGCAAGCTGCAGCTTCCCTTTAACACCGACGCCTGGTATGCTCTTAGTCTCCTTCCAGCCGGATGTTTTATCCTTAACAGACACGTTGAGGTTGCCCATGGTGTCGATGTCGAAGGAAGTCATGAACTTAGCACCCTTGGGAGCCGGTGGGATACCCTCGAACATTAGGGTGCCAAGAAGTTGATTGGCACTTGCCTTTCTTCTTTCGCCTTGGTAAACCGCAATTTTGTGGTTGGGCTGGTTGTCAACCACGGTGGTTAAGCGTGACTCGAACTTCATGGTTGGGATAGTGGCGTTCTTTGGGATTTTGACCGACATCACATCGTAAATATCAGCCATCCCAATGGAGAGCGGAGTTGCGTAATACACGAGATCCTCCACCTCCTGAATTCACCATGTAATGTAATATATATATATTTGAGAAAACTAACTAACTACAACCCGCAGAGAAAGTGCAATAACAATAACAATACTTAAACCAAACCTGTTTGTTCTGTTTGTGTGGTTCCTCGTCATCGCCATGCACCTTTGCAGAGCCAGCTGCTGCTGCTGCTTTGCTGTTTCGAGCCCCCATCTCTGTCTCACTATCTATATATAATTCCAGCAGCTAGTTAAGCTAGGGTTTCTTTTCTGTGCACAATTTACACACACACACACACACGACATATATATAGGGCCCAACGCCACGTACATAAGGATGGAGTAATTGATCAAATAGAATCCGCATGCAATACGTACGGGCGGACACAGAAAGGGACAACTCACAATCACAATCCCTATTAATTACTAGCTATATATAGCGAGCAACGTGCGACTTGTTGCTAGCTGTCCTAATTAAGAACTGCATGCAGAGAGCGTAGAAATATTATTGTTAGCTAGCGCGCTAGGATCCATTGTAAGCACGGGGAACATTTATTTATTTATCTATAGAACATGATTTTTTTTTGAAGAGAGATCGACAATTCACCTAGGAAAGGGTCAGTTTCTACCAAGAAAACCAGATGATAAACTAGGAAAAAAAGGATATCGGATTGAATCGGATCATCGGGAACCAAATATTTCATTCGACTCGTCGATTTCTTAAAAAAAAACAAAGAATAAGAATAATAATTATGGAACTGATGGGAAGAGCTGCTTACCGCGTAGGTTGATTGCTGTTCCGGAGGCCGAAGATACGTACGGAAATTGTATTGTTGGTTGGTTCGTGCAGTCTCGTCTGGTTGATGATGATACTTATTTATCGGTGTAGCGATTGCGAAGGGCCGTGTGTTGTGTGGATTTTATGTCGGTGGGAGCTCGCTCTCTCTTTCCGTCTTGGAGTTGGTTTCCTCGCGCGGATGCCATGGGAAGGGAAAAGGACAAACGACGCTGCGTAGCGGGTAATATTTCAGTAAGGAAATCATCAGTAAATGGGAGGGAGGGTATGTTGCGTTGTATAATGGCAAGAATGAAAAGAGGAAATGGGTATAACACACAGTCACACACTTTGCACACTTTAGCTACTTATAAAAAATAATAATATTCTAGTTTAATTAAAAACTAAATATAAAACATTAGTAGTAGTTTTAGGGCCAAACAATATATTAGTCATCTATGTGTAACACGTTTTAGGATTGCAATTATTTTATGTGCCACCTCGCTAAAAGTAAATTAGTTGGTAGAAGATACCAGAGGTGCCGGGAACTACTTGCAGAGTTCGAAATTGATGGACATCGGCCCAGTGTAACGAGTAAATGGCGAGATGTTAAGACATGCTTCATTCAGAGGTGTACACTCTTAAAGTGTTTATGAGATTCCAAGAAGAATACCTCAAAGTTTGGGATTTCATTATTGATATATCAATAAAACTAAAGTCCAGGTAGAATATAAAGTCGGGTATGTAGGTGGAGGCATAGAGCTCTGTGTTCAATTTGAGTCTTCCTCTCAAGTAGTTGATTGCAGTTCCAAGATGTTTGAGTAATATAAAGCAAATCCCAAGGGGTTATATATATATATATATATGGGGAGTTCTATCGTACCCCGGGTGAAATCCAGGGTACCGCATATCTTAAGTAAGAAAACGTTATCCAGAACTTGAATTGACTGATCTTTCGGACATGATACTATACTCTAACCCTTAAAGATCAAAATCTAGGTCTTAATTCTCTAAATCTTATACCCCAAGATCAATTTAATTAGAAATAATAATCGACGGTTATGATTCGTCCAAATATAGGCAAGAAAATGAAGGCACCATCTTAGAGTATATAGTTTATGATTTATATAATTAGGACCTAGGGTTCACTCATTAAGTGTTAGGGTATAGTATAATGCCCAAAAATCCTGCTAATTCGAGGTCTAGATGGCCTTTTCATACTCAATGTATGCGGTACCCCGGATTTCATCCGGGGTACGGTAGAAGGCACCATATATATATATATATATAGTGGCGTCTTCAGTGCACTCACTTTGTTTGGTGCATTCAGTGCACTCACTTCATAACCGTCATTTTAAACATCCGATTTATGTCAAAATGATATCAATCATCACTTATGATGTGATGAACAATAAAGCACATGAATTTTCACAAAAGACATTCAAGATTTACTTTAATTTGAAGGATTTAGGGTTTAGAGATTTAGGGTTAGGGTTAGGATTTATAATTTGGGGTTTAGTCATAGAATTCATAATTGGAGGTCTAGGGCTTAGGGTAATCCATTAATTAGTTGTTATCATATGTTATATCATCATATTACACTAATTCTACAAATTAAACTTCAAAATTCGACACCTTAAGACTAGTTTTTGAGTTGGATGTATTAAACGCACTCATTTTTGTGAGTGCACCGAAGTAGCCACCACATATATATGTATTAAAGAGGTGGACAATGGTGACTAAATTCTCCGTTCAGGTCAAGGGTGGAGCGTATACAGATAATCGGATATTCAGTTACCGGGTAACTGCTAACCGACCGATTACCATCCCTACTTTCGAGCGCCTCTTCGTTCAGGTCTGTCGCACCCTCCCTCGTCGGACTATAAAGCAAAATCAAGGTTGTGGCCGACAAACAATGCCGGTGAGTTGTTGTTTGGATTGGGTTTTCTGGGCAGCTAGGGGTGACTGAGCAGAGCGAAATCAAACAAGGGGAAAAAGAAAGAAACAAAAAAAAAAAAAAATCGTAGGAAGGGACAGATCTTGACAGAGCTGGAGGGAGAGAGGAGAAGCAGATCGATCCTTCTCCTGGTCCGATCTCAAAATCCCCCACCTCATGAACTCTCAGTTGCCGGCGGTTATATTGAAGATGGTTCCATAATTGGCTATGACATAGTCACGAGTGGGTGACGCCATACAAGCACGAGTATCTATGAGTGGATTCGGTCAGTAATCTCGGGGTGAATAACCAATGAGTAACTCGTCCACATAAGCACCCTCTCTTATGAAAAATCATTTATCTTTTCCCCATTAATCTACAACGGCCGATTTCTCTCTCCTTTTATTTTGGAATTTTTTTTTTCCAGATAAATCATATTAATTGTGCTCGATCAATTTGATATCCACTTATATATATATTTAGAAGAAAAAATTGAGGCTTTTTTTACGAGTCTATGACATATGTTATTGACTGGTATTAAATAAGAGCATATCATATGGTATGAAAGCATACCATGGTGGTATGATTCGTACGAACATACAAATACTGTAAGATAGTTGAATACATGATAGTAAGAGTATATTTTATTGTCATTTACAACTTTCATCATTGTGTACCACAAGTTACCACCCCCATACCATGGTGGTAAGGGTGAACAAAACAACCCGTAAACCGACCCACTCCACCCGTATTTATCATCAAAATTAAAGTTTAAGGTTGAGTGAGGGTTTTCTTTGTACAACCCGCCTCTATTGGGTTGGGTCAAGATTTTGGGTAACCCAACCCGTGTTGAACTATTGTCATAAGTGTTTGTATACAACACATATTTGTGTCATAAATAAACATACTTGTGAGAAAATTAAGCTTTATTATTATATTTTTCTCTTGTGGTTTCTCTAGTCTAATGCTTTCTTCAACTTAATATTGAGACGCAGATTTAATATAAGCTATAATTCACATAATCTTTTTTTTGTACAATTTTAGATAAAGAATATATCATGAATATGTTAGCTTATAAGTAGTAACTAGACATTTGTTGAAGTAAATTGTTTTTCATTAAAATCAAAACAATATTTATGCATATTGAAACTTTTTGCCTCCACTTATTTGTTTAAAATCAAAACAACATTTATGAAAGAGAGAGAGGCAAATCGGTAGAGAAGATCTGAAATTTTTTTTATCATAAATATTGTTAAGTTTACATATTTTTTTAATTTTTAGTTTCTTTTTTAGGTTTTATTTAATTTTGAATTAAAAGTATGAGGTATCACGGACGTGATATCTAAGTGATTGTCACATTTTTGCAATGTCAGCAAAAGTCAATGTCAAGTATACCATCGTCTAGTCAAACGTTATCTATAACGGTCAACGAAATTGTAGGGCATAATTGACACACAACTATCATACGTTGAGATATTTTTTGAATATTGACTAAGTCGAGACAAAAATGGCATTTGTTTATCGATATTTGTAGTGGTATTAATCCTTTTAATTATTATTTTGCATTATTTGATTATTTCACAAACCGACTGATTGACTAATTACAGAATAATGCATTAAGGGTTCGTTTGGAGAACAAGATTTGGATCGTGGATTTATTGAATCCGTAGATTTAGCAAAATGTTAAGTTTTTTTGCTACTTTTTGTATCGTGGATTGTAACTTCAGAGATTGTAAATCTATAAAATCTAGAGATATCAAATCTCTCATAATTAGAGAGATTCTACATCTTGATTTTGGAGATTTTTTCCCTCCTATTATATCTCTTGTTTTTTTTTTCATTTATCCCACTAAATACCCTTACCAATAAATTCTCAATAATTTTCGAGCCAATCTAATTATTTTGGTTAAGGATAAACATGTTATGTGATAAAAAAAATAGAATTTCTTTTTTCATTGGATGTTAACAATCATAGTTACCAAACAATGAACATTTTCAAATCTTTTTTCAACAATCCAGAGAGTTAAAATCTTTGGATTGTCTAAAATCTAGAGATTTAGACTCCAATTCTCCAAACGAGCCCTAAGTTTGATATTTCAACAATCACTCGCCTTTTTTTGTCCAGAATTCCAATGTAATTAATTAAAATATCACCAAGTGGCATCTGATAACTAATTAATCACATAAACAATAGTGCACAGGCCACATATGCAATTTCATGTCTGAAAACGACACTCGTTTTGTCTTCTTATAAGTATGCAACTGGCAACATAATAATTAACCACCGACGTTTAACTTTTCAAAATAGACAACTTTTTTTCTCTCTCTTTGGTAGCTCTCTATTTATTGGGCCAACACGGTTTGGCTGCAACTTGTTGTACCTCAAAGTTTGAGAATTCAAGCAGAAAGAATCACTCTTATGCATGGTTTCATATCTTGATGGGTCCAACTGATCCAGACTTTTTGACTACTTTGATTTGTAACCATTGAGTTATTAGTTGGTTGCCTGCAGATTGCATAGGGCAGACAAGCCAGCCACTTGCAATTCGAGATAGCTGAAAAATCCTTACATTCTGCTGCTACTGATTTCTTGTAATAACAACAAAGTTATATAACCATATATAGTTTGTGATTTAGGGTTTAGTTTTAGTCAATTTCTTTTGCACAGTCACTTTGCTTCTTTAATTGCTCCAGTATAGACGTATAGTGATTCAGTATAGTATACACTCTTCATCAATGCATTTGAGAACGTATCGTGCAACAGAAAATATGAGATTGCGTTTTTTATAGTTTCATTTCTTACTTATCATGCATTATGACAAAATCATTTTGCAACTATTTACCTAGTCCAGATTTTCCTTTAGTTTTGTCATATCATAGACCTCCACATCTGGTTTTTGTTCCGTATCTATTAGTTTTCGTATGAACATGCCTAATTTTTACGAGACTCGCGATTGATCAATAGTACGTGTTAGTGTGATTTTTTTGCTTCATGTTTCTTAAAAAGAATGTTAAAAAATACTAACTGAAAGCAAATTCAAATGCTCATATGGGAGGAAACTATATTTCAATGTCTGCGCGCATTCGATCATTGTATATGTGGGAATTTTGAAAGGTAAAAGATGTGTCGTATGTTAGATAATCAGTTCGTGAAACAGGAGCGAGAGCGTTTAATTTAGAAGAATTCAATATTGAGAGCGTCTAAAAAGCGTCAATTTATATTGTTATTTAAGCCATACACTTGAATAATAATGAAACACAACTAATTACTTGAACTATGCTCAAGTATAATGATCAAAGAATCGGAAAGAAGAATCCAATGACCATTGACCAATGA